TCTCTCTCTCTCTCTCTCTCTCTCTCTCTCTCTCTCTCTCTCTCTCTTGCGCGTTCGGATTTCCGGGAAGAAAAAAGGTGCGCCACGTGGCCCACACGACAGATGTCCGAGCTGGTGACGAGGAGAAGGAGAAGATCCACGAGGAGGTGGGACCACGAGGACGAAGGGTTGACAGGGGAGAAAGAGGAGGACGAGGAGGACGACGAGGAGGGGAGAGGGTTGAGAAGGACAACGACAATGAGGACCTGGAAGCTCTCTCTCTCTCTCGCGCAAAAAAAAAAAAAAAAAAAAAAAAAAAAAAAAACCGTGCACCACGTGGCGCAGGTGACAGACAAGCGAGGTGGCTAGGAGGAGGAGGAAGGCGAGGAGGAGAAGGAGGCCGGACGATACAATCTGGCAGTCAAGATGAGTGAATGAGAGCCGGACGATACAATCTGGCACAGTCGTGCTTTTTGTGATTGTGACGACTTGCGTGCGATTACTCTTGTCTTTCCCTTCTTGCTCATCAACCCGCTCACCCTTTCGCTCTATCTTCCGAAATTCCACCTCATGAATTCTCTCCCTTTTTCTTTTTTTTTTGCCTTTTCCCTCCTCACACTAGTAGTTTTTCCTTAAGAAAAATGTGGACGATTTCTTGATTTATGCGTGTCATCCTTGCGAAGAGGCGATGTTAATCCTCTCTGTTTCGTTCCAATTTTTACAATGTCCCGTGGGACCGTTTTTTTTTTCTTTTCTTTTCTTTTCTTTCTTCCTCACGCTAATTTCTAGCAACCCTCACTGCAGCTATTTCCCTCAAAGGTGCCCTTCCCGCCCACTCCCAACTCCTGCTATGCGTGATCCTCCTCTCCCATCCTCACCTGCTCCTCATTGTGCTTCCTCTTCCTCTTCCTTGCCGTACTCCTCCTCCTCCTCCTCGCCGTACTTTGCTCACCCTACACCTCCACCTCGTTCCCCTGACTTTCTCTGCTCAATTTTCTCGTCCCTCTTCTTTCTTCTCTCTTCAGATCTCGTAGAGCATTTGTCTTTTCAGAAGTGTCTGAACGAATTATACTGCCGTAAACATGACAGAGTTTGTGCTATAAGGTGGCACAGATCTCTCTCTCTCTCTCTCTCTCTCTCTCTCTCTCTCTCTCTCTCTCTCTCTCTCTCTCTCTCTCTCTCTC